TGAGGGTGTTGGGGGGCGGTTTGGGGGTTTTGAGGGGGTGTATGGGGGTATAGGGGGCAGGTATGGGGGTGTTGGTGAGGTTATTGGGGTTTAACCCAGCGGGTTGCCGACGACCCCGACCGGTAGGTGCCGACTAGCCGACTGGCCGGCTGGTCGGCATCGAACCAGTCAAGGGGTGCCGACCTTCGGGGTATGCAACACTGCTGGTGATGTTTCACACGTTAACCTGTGGAAGTCTACAAGGGTAACAGTTAACCTGCTGGAAGTGTAACGGGTTACTTTAGCGTGTTAACACAACTCAACAGTCAACCTGCTGAACCATAACTGGGTAACAACTCAGCATTCGTTGTTTTGTCATTTTGTAGGTGCTCGACAAACCCTCTTGCCGTTGCTGTGCATGTGCTAACAGACTCGCTTTTGGTCTGCCGAACTGTAACATGTAATTTAAAAAAAAAAAAAAAGGGTAACAGGTGAGGTGGGGTCGGTCGTAGCAGCCCCCGCCTTGATAGGCGATTAGAACTGCAAGGGTATGGCTGTCCCCTTTTCTGCAGACTTTTCTCTTGCTTGAACTCATGCTTGCCGGTGATAAGCAACTGGACTGATGCCCCCCAGAATAGAAGGGGCTTTTCTTTTTCAAAAAAAAAAAAAGAAATATTCTGCTGAATTGTAACCGGTTAGTTAACCTGATGAGCTGTAACAGGTTAACTGTTAACTTGCTGAACTGTTATGGGTTGACTGTTAACCTGCTGTGCTGCAATGGGTTAAACCACCCCAGTACATCCAGCTATGGGCCGCGGGCCCTTTTCGGAGGCTGCCCGCCGCCAATTGGATTTATCTACGGCGCTGGGCCTCTGAAAATTTCGAAGGCGGCGAGTTTTCTTTTCAGCAAGGCTGGGTCCGCGTACTGGCGGCTTAAACCACTTGTACCTCCGCCAGTGTTCGGAAAAATGGGAAAACTTCAAAACTGGCAGTTCCTCCCCCCCCCAAACTCCTAGAAAATCAGGGGCAGGGCCCGGCGATGGCCGCCGTTGATAAATCTCATCGGCGGCTGTCGTTTCGTTCCGGCCTCCGAAAAGATCGGAGGCCCGCCCGAGGCCTCCCTGTATTCCCAATTGGTGGAGGTACTAATGGTTCGACACTAACTTAGCAGTTTAACATGCTGTAACGGGTTTGCAGTCTATCGTCTTCACCCGAATACAACGTACGGTCATTATAGCTGTATTTGGGGTATGTTTGAGTCTAAATACATCTATAATGACCGTATGTTGTATTCGGGGGAAGAAGTTAACATTCATCTCTCATTTTGTATGCGCTCGACAAACGTCTCTCGCTGCTGCTGTTCAGTAGATAACGGTCTAGCATTTGGTCTGCTTTATCTGATGCACTCAATGATGGCTGGAGATGGTGTTGTTTGGTGTGGGTTCATGTCATCATGAGGAGTGCCCTGCTTCTGCTGGCTTCCACCTGATGTGCAGGTCTGTTTCTGTTTTCACAGCTCCTCTCAGAGAGTGACAGTTCTGTTTATGGCTTTAAACTACCGGTATTGGGAGACATACTCCTTTTTTATTGTTTTCGGAGGGGGGAGAGGGGGGCAACGTACGTCCTAGCTTTAGGGACACCCAATGTGATGCGCGGTTGTTTCTCTGACTGGTCGCACCTAACTGTGCGAGAGAATTGGAGTTCAGCCTGCATAATATGATGAGCGTTTTTTCGCTCTCATTATGCAGTCAGTTGGACTTCAGCCTGAGATGCCACCCTCCGCAGGCATGCTTTTTTTTTTTCTTTTTGCCCCCTCTGTTCCTTGGATCAATGTTCCTCCCAAGGCATGCTTACCTATGCTGTTTGGGTAAGTACACATGGTATTATTGAGGAGTTTTTGCTGCTTTTCTTGTTCGTTCTACTCATCTTCGTATGCATCTGAAGGCAAGCAACGACCAGGTACGGTTTGACCCACGCTGCTGGCTCAAACCATGAGTTCAAGCTTGGGAGTGGTTTGCTGTAGTACTTTTCTCCTGTTTGTTGCCGCCTCTTAGTGTTCCGTCGCCAGTTGAAACCATGAGTTTGATCGTGAGACGGATTTTACAGATCACTTTTTGAAGTTTTTCAAACTTTGTGTATATTTTTGCGCAGATGGAGCACAACCGGAGAGGGTTCTTTCCGGCTTCTTGCGATCATTCCTTGACAGCACGAGATCGGAGATGCCTTTCCATGCTGTCAGACTTCCCGAGCTTGGCTTGTCGGACGCTGACAAGCGTTGCATTCGAGATCGAAGCAGCATAATGGCTAGGCACTTCTTTGCAGATAAGGGTGATGAGTACGCCACAGCGCAGGTACGCTCTATGTTTTTTTTTTCCCCATCCTGTTTGGGAAAAACTGTGACGAGTACGCCACAGGGACGGTACTCTCTACCTTTTTTTTTTCCGACCTTTTTGCGAAAAAAAACAGTTTGAGAACCTAGCCTTGGGGGCTTGTTTTCATTCTGCAGAGCCAGAGCATTTGTCGGGCTCCTCTTGTCCATGTGCAAGCCGTTCCACTCCCCCAGTATGGCTGGAAGCTCCACAGCACCTTGCTTGATGACCGGGGGATGCATTTTATTCATTTTGGCTGCTAAATTGCTAGTGAGTGGAAAAAAGGGAAAAAAAACATGGAGTCAAAAAAAAAAAGTAAAAAAAAAAGTTGATTTAACCCCCTCCGTGCCTGCTCTCGGACCAGAATACCCACTCTTTTCTATTCACAAGTTAGGGACTCGTACACGCAGAAGAAACACACTCCTGTAATGACCGGCCAAACACGGACTGAGACACACAGCTGATTTCTGAGTTGTGCTCATGGAATGTATGCCTTACTGAGTTTCCCTCTTGTTGCTGAGTTCTCTAAGTCTGTGTGGGTGCGTGCTTGCTGGTCTGCATGCCTGTTTGAGTGCTTGTCGGCTTGAGTGTGCGTGTGACCCGCAAGGGCACTTGGTTGATCGGAAGGCCCGAAGGCGGCGAAGGGCCGGTACTTACCTGTGGCCTTGACATTGAGGGTTGCAGCGGGGAAAACACTAAAGTGGCAGGGAAAGAGGCCCGCAACACTTAGAGCAGCGGAAAACACTCAAGTAGCAGGTAAGCCGGTACCACACCAAGTAGAGGTAGATGTGCCGGGTACTCGAGGCCGAGCAGAAGAAGACAAATGTTGGCATTTTTTTCAGAGGCCCAGTAGTTGTAGGCTAGGTCTAGGCGGGTACCAGTCCAACCAGTTTGCGTCTAGGGCCTGTACGGGCAATATCAGAGTCTGCAATGATGTTTCCCTCCGAAAAGGAGGAGGTACCGGTTGCTTGGAGGCCGCGCGGCCTAGGAAGTCACCGCCCAAGAGGCAAGTAGGCCGCTATATCTTCTGGAGGAGCAAGTAGCTCCTCCTCATTTGCGGTGTGCAAGGATTGGCGACATACCGCTGGAGCCAAGCGTTGGACTTGGAGCGCTGCCTAGGAGGCCGACGAAGGAGCTGGGCGCTCAGCCTGGCTATGGCGAGCAGCCCAGCCTGAGGAGGAGGAAGAAGGGGGCGAAGGAGGAGAGTGGCGAGGTACCTACCTGGCTATGGTGGACACCATCTTCATCACCTTGATAGGCGCTGCATCCGGAAGGCCCCAGTTGGGGTAGTGCCGCACCGAGGAAGCTCGAGGCAGAGTCAGGCATGACAGCCTGATGATCAGCGGCATAGCTGCTTTGTGTTGTTCTTTGCACAAGAGGGCAGAGCCCTTAGTAGTCCGCCATAGCCTTGGCATGTGAGAAAGGAGGAGGAAGCCATGGCTATGGTGGACCTATTGTTGTGCTAGTAATAAGAGGGAACTTCAGATATTGATTCTGGTTCATCCACTCATTGTGATTATTATTATTATTTGGAAGGAGTGATACCAAGGAGGAGGAGGAAGGTGGACAGAGAAGGGGGATTTGTCATTGGTCTTGCTGGTGTACATCTTCTTCTTCTTCTTCTTCTTCTTCTTCTTTGGTCTCTCTCTCTTTGCAAGTGCTTTCATTTCTTTCGCAATTGGGTGGCATTGTCTTTCCTTGTGAATTTGCAAACAACCAGGATCGTGTATATATTTCCCTCCGTAAAACTCATAAGGCATTAATTGTTGAAGAATGTATGAAAACAGGTGGAATTGGAACAACTTTGAAACAAGTTTTCTTCATTTACTAAAAAACATATTAAATTCAAAGAAAGAATTGTTTATTGAAACCTTCTATTGTGATAAATTCTATTTTCTTTTATCTGTAACAATAATATTATCGAAAAAGCAATCAGATGTGCGTGTTTTGAATCGTAACTAGGATGACTTGCCTAGCCGATATATATATATATATGCCTACGGTTTACTGGGCAGTTCTGTTTGTGACTATATATATGACGATATATATATATTGACGATATATATATATCGGCTAGGCAAGTCATCCTCTGGGCCACTCTGGTAACATAGTAAATACAATTTAATAAATAAATAAATTCTATGAACTTTTTAAAAGTTTTTTATTTTTTTATTTTTTTTTTCCGATAAATAAGTTCGATGTGATCTTGCAATTTATTTTTCTGTGTAACATCGTTTGTTTTTGTTTTTTTGGATTTTTGCAGGGAGCTTCCCTGGCCATTGCCCGGCTGAGCCGCCTGGGCAACCAAGGTGACACGGGTAACCCCGTTGGTAGCCCAGGTTGGTACCACTTTGTTGTTTTTTTTAATAGGCAGGTCATCCATCCCCTGTGCGAGGAATGAGCTTTGCGGGATCGGACATACAAGTGATCTGGGCTGCGGCCCCTAGCAAGCCCGTGCCCACCCTAAGTGAAGGCGGGCCTGAATATCCACGTGAGGCCTGTTTTCAACATTTTTCCATATGTGGGTACTCAGACAGTTGCAGCGCGCCAGTTGGTTCCAGAGCAACGTGAGCCTCCAGGCTCTTCCAGAAGCAAAAGGGCTGCGCTGTCCAGTTGAGCCCAGGGCTCAGGTGGTTGCGCCCTGGGCACACACTGTGTGAGGCCAACACATCACGGACTGGTCACGGGCCAATGAGGAAGCAGCACTGTCGTCACAGATGTGCCGGGAGTCAATGAGAATGCTGCAAACACTTGGAGGCTGGGTGGCTGCCTGGACGTGCCTAACTGCACGAGGCCAAGGCCAGTATCTGAAACTGGGCCTGGGCGCAAACACTTGGGGCCAGAGGCAAGCTACTGGGCCCCCCCACACGCCTGGTCAGGCCAGCCAGCAGCGGACACTTTCCATATAGGAAAATGTGTGTCCCCTGGGGAGGCATTCCGGCCTTGGCAGGCAATGCGAACAGGCTGCTGCGTTGCTGCGCTAGTGTCTGCATGGGCGTTGAGGTGAGGGGCACTGCTGAGGCAGCGAGCACACAGCAGCCATAGCCGGGCTGCAGGGGCGGAGGCAGGTGATGGCGATGGTGGTCTTCGGGTAGGAAGCGCATGCAGAGAGTGGGGGTCAAGGTGTGATGGGGGGAGGAGAGAGAACGTACCCGGTGTATGCTGGTGGTCGGCATTGGTGTTGACGTCACGTACATCGGTCTTCGACTTCGATATGATCCAGTCGCAAGAACGTAGATAGACTAGATAGGCTGAGTAGAGTAGGCGGCGCGGGGCGCCAGACAGTAGGAGCGACATTGGATACATTGTTCGTGTGACCAGAGAGCGTCGGCATTGACACTCGACTTCATTGCATTGCTCTTATTTGGATGGAATCTTGGTGCATTGTGCTCTCTGCTTGTTACAAGACTATCTGGACTGCGTGGTTTTCTGTCTATCGCTCTCGCTCATATTCCTTGCACCTGCTTGTTTTGCTACTAAGGTTAAGTGAGCGTAAGTCGTTCGTAATACTTTGTTTTCAAACTTTTTTTATTCCCATGTCAGTAATCCCTGCTTTCGTTGCAACCGAAGTTAACCAAGGGCTAAAGCATTGGTAACCCTTTGTTGTTTTTCTTTTTGCCAGGTCAGCGCCCTGCTTCAGTCATTAGATATCACAGCCGAGGATGAGAGCCGTTTACGTGAACCTATGGGAGGGAGGTTTGATGAATTTGATGACTACTGGGGAGAATCAACCGCTCGTAATCAGGTGAGATTATGCAAAATCTCCCCTTCATTCATCTCTTCCCCGCCTTGCTTGTGCTCTCTCTCCCCATCAGCCCTTTCGAGCCTGTGATCCCTTGTCAAACCACCAGTACCTCAGGGGGGCTTAGGCACCCTCTGACGTGAATGGATATAGACCTGTGCAGCGCACTGATTCATCCATCACGTTAACGCCTCACAACGCGGTAGGTACTGGTGGTTTAAGCCATGCGGTCATTTTCGCTTCCGAAGGGAATACCGGCCCGTATGGCTACCGTCATCCTCTGAACATAACGCACCCCTCTCCTCCCTAACATATCGCACCCGTCTTCCCCCCCAACATAATGCACCCGTCCCCCGCTGAGCATAACACACCCTCATCATGCATGTATTGCTCCGGAAACATGGCTTAAATACGTTAATGATGAGGGTGAGTTGCGTGGGGGGGGGTTGGCGAAATCTCCCCTGCATTTATCTCTTTCTCTCCTCTTGTCTCCCTCTCTCCCCATCAGCCATCACAATGTTTGTGTGTGTGTGTGTGGTGTGCATGTGTGTGTGTGTATGTGTGTGTATGTGTGTGTGTGTGTGTGTGTGTGTGTGTGTGTGTGTGGGTGGGTGGGTGTGTATGTGTGTGGTGTGCATGTGTGCATGTGTGCATGTGTGTTGTGTTGTGTATGTGTTGTGTGCGTCCGTGTGTGTGTGTGTGTGTGTGTGTGTGTGTGTGTGTGTGTGTGTTGTTGTGTGTGTTGTTGAAACCACCCAAAAAAAGCAAACACATATGTTACAAATTTGTGCTCCATTAATTGACAATCTGAGTGGTCTTATCAAGTGGCCTCTTTTAGGGGCCCTCATCGTGTGTGTGTGTGTGTGTGTGTGTGTGTGTGTGTGTGTGTGTGTGTGTGTGTGTGTGTGTGTGTGAGAGAGAGAGAGAGAGAGAGAGAGA